TTTTCACCCTTTTTTTGCCTCGGGCGGAAAAGGCATCTGAGGGGGCTGTCAGGGTCCTGGAACAATGGGATATAGCAGAGCTGGTAAAACGAGATTCTAGTCAGGTTTAAATTTAATCTTCGATACTCCAATATGAATTTCTAGCTGCGGTAACGTCGATATGATGGAGCCGTGATTTATTAAGGCTGTGCAATAAGGCCATTGCACGCGGCGACGGCGCCGACACCCATTGGATGACATTTTTTGAACATGATCAAAAAATGTGGAGTTTGCTTCGGAGTAGAGTATCAGGAAAAGATGAGGATTATGAACATTGCCATGGACATTGGCAACAAGATTAGAGTCCATGACGTTGAGGAAATTATTGTGCTGCCGAGGGAGCTAGCAGGTACATTGAAACCCGCCAACGACGTGAAGATCTGCTGAGGCAGGGGAAGGCTATGTAAGTTTAGCTTTATTGACTGTCATGAGCTGCCGATAGATCTCCAGCTCCAACCCGGGTTTAAATACCTTTTGACACGATGTACGAACCCACCATGCTTAGCCGTTCATGACTACACCTAAAATTCCACTTGCACATCAGAATTCTTCCCCCGTGGTAGTACTACAGGATGATGCTCTGGCCTTTCAAAAATGGCAAAAGGACCTCCTGGCTAAGATTGAGTTACAAATCTCTCCCTACGTTGCCCTTGCGTTGAGCCTTCGGAAGCGGGACTTAGAAGGAACGACAGACTCGGCTGGGAAGAATGAAATCGAGGCTCGGTATGCAAGGAGATTTGCGGAGTTGGTGGATGTAGCAACTACACAGTTTCATTCAGTCTCGCACGCACAAATACAGAGACTGTCCCAGGATGGGATCAAATGGATTCCTCCGTCCTATATCTCAATACCTTGTAAATTCATTTTACCCTTTTCTTGGTTGTTACTGAGCATCAATCATCTGGGCAGATTCTCCTCCATTGTGGTATCTCGACAACTCTACCAGACACATACCTCAAGCTCAAGATACTCGGCAAGATCAAATTGAGCACCCAAAGTTTGCAGGAGGCAACATTTACTCTTTGGTCAGTGAAAATAGCCCTACCGATTTTGCAATTTTAGGGACAGGACTCAGTGATACTGAAGTCCAAGTAGTGGTCAGTACCTTAATCTTCATTAGACTTTTTTTCATCCTAAATTGTGGACATTAACCAGGAGCTACAACATTGCACAGAGCCAATTCAGAAGGACAAAGAGCAGATGGCAAAGAGAGATAACAAAATAGATGCAAAGGAAACTCAGCTTCATAGAAAGACAGTAGAGTCAGAATTACAAGGCAAGGTTCAGCAACAGGAAAGAAATCTGCAGAACCAGCATGTTTTTCAGCGACAATTAGAACATACCAATAGGCAGCTGATCAAAAAACAGAGCAAAGTTGAAGCTCTGCAAGAAGAACTGCCGAAGGAAGCTCATACTCGGCTGCGGGAACAACAAGGAGAAGCAGAAGAGCAGATAGAAGAGCAACGAGAAGTAGGCAGTCAGTACAAGGAATGGGAATATACCTGGGAAGCTGAGCTTGGAGGAAGGGGTCAAACAGAAGAGTATATAAATGGAAGAGTAGAGAGTGTTCCAGGAAGAGGGAACTTGAAGAAGATATACAAAAGGGAGAGCAATGTGCAGTATAGGGAACAGAGTATGAAGCAAAGAGAGGAGAGTGTGGAGCAAAGAGAGGAGAGTGTGGAGCAAAGAGAGAAGAGAGTGGAGCAAAGGGAGAAGAATGTGAAGGAAAGGGAAGAAAGTATGAAGCAAAAGGAGGAGAGTGTACAGCGAAGGGAAAGGGTTGTGCAACAAAGGGTGAAAGTTATAGAGGAGATGCAGAAGATTGTACAGCAAAGGGAGGAGAGTGTGAGGAATGAGTGTATGCAGCGGAGGGAGGAGAGCATGCGGCAAAGGAGGGAGATGGTGATAGAGGAGAATCTGCAGCAAAGGGAGGAGAGTCTGCAACGAAGGGAGGAGAGTGTACAGCAAAGTGAAATGAGTGTTCAGCGAAGTGAGGAGAGTGTGGAGCGAAGGGTGGAGAGTGTACAACGAAGTGAGGATTGTGTGCAGCAAAGGGTAGAGAGTGTGCGGCGAAGAGTGGAGAGTGTGCAGCAAAGGGAAGAGAGTGTGCAGCAAAGGGAACAGATTGTGCAGCAAAAGGCCGAGAGTGTGCAAAAAAGGGTGCAAATTGTGGAGCAAAGGGAGCAGATTGTGCAGCAAAGGGAGGAGAGAGTGCAGCAAAAGGAAAATGCTGCAATCCTAACTCACATCCCATGGTCAGCAGAAGAACAGTCGAAGAGGGATGCCTTGACCATTGGTGCAGAGATGGTGGGGCGCAATTTGAGATCTATTGAGTCTCATTCAAGTGGCATCCGTAACTTTTCTCCGATGGGGTTGAACTATGGCCATTCGCCGTCATTTGGATCGTCACCATCCAAAGGGATATTTCGCCGTTGGCAGAACCTCTCTTCGTAGACGAGCTGAAAACTTGAAAGTAGCTGAATCATACATTGCTTACACCCTCTCGCATCCGCGTTTGTGATAGAATAGGGAGATCCTATCGCCAACGTCGATATCCTACGAATTATCGGTTATTATACATTATCACGCCAATATCTTCATTTGCTAAACATCTTCGATCTCAAATGACCCCTTTCGCACGAAGCTCTTCGACCTCAGAAGTCGAATACCCAAGTTCTACAAGGACCTGCGTGAACAGAAAACGGAAAACGTTCATCAACCGATAAGCCCATTTAGGATAGTCACGAACGAAACACCTCTACGTACCTCATCACTATGTTCACCCAACCACGGCGGATGCCTCCTTACAGGCATCTTCTTCCCATTATACGTGACTGCTGGAGCGACCAGTTTGATTGGTCCTGCTCGTGGATGCTGGCGCGATGAATCGAAGAAAAGAGAGATAAGATTTGGATGAGGTCAGTTTACCGTCAGAGATAGAATAGGTATGGAAAGAGAGATGGAGACTTACGTCAACCTCAACTGCAATGTTCCTAGCTACAGCTTGTTCATGCTCGAACGTTTCCTTAATAGTATTGATAGGCCCGTGAGGAACACCTTTGCCCGCCTTTGTCGCTTCTTTGAACTTGCGTAACCAGTAGGCTTTGGTTTGTCTGTTGAGAGGGGAGGGTAACGTCGAGTCAACGGACGAGATTGCCGATACTAGATTAGAGACGCGCACTTTCTTAATTCAGTTTCTAGTATATTGATCAACTCATCACGGTTTTGAACTCGGAGGGCGTTTGTCGAGAATCGCGGATCTGAAGGTAGGGACGGAAGAGGAAGCACCATCGTACATAGGGTATGGAACTGACGAATGTCCAGATTAATGTCAGCTCAACGAGGAAACCTGAAACCGGTGGAAGGCGACTTTACCTGTCCCTCATTTCCTGCACCGATCAAAATAAAATCATCGCCCTCCTGGCCTTCTGGCGCTTTACAAGGGAAAACCTTGGAAAAGAACGTCACAACAAGAACACCCTCTCCATCCGGAGCAAACACCAACCTGATACGGAACGACGCTAGCATGGGCCGTACCATACCTCTTCGCTTCCTGGCCGGCAATCAAGTAGTTAGAGGCGATGTTGGCTAATCCAGCTACTTGGGTCTCGAACAAGTTGCAATCTATCCAACATCCTTTTCCGGTCTTTGACCTGCCTATCAGTGCAGCCATGATAGCACCGTGAGTGTAGAGACCAGTGGCGATGTCAGTAGAAGCCACGCCGACCTAATATACCATCCGAAATGAGAAAGCGTTCGAAGGACGGAGAAGCAAGAAAGATCATACTTTGACAGGCTTTGCGGGATACGGCTCTCCCGTAATGTGCATCAAACCTGCTTCACCCTCGACGATCACGTCGTAACCGGCATGCTGACGGTATGGACCAGTCTGTCCGTAGCCTACAGATCATGATTGGTCTTTACTTCCGCAATTCTTTACGCAAGGGGCAAAAGGTAACCTACCGGTGATACTAGCGTATATCAATCTGGGATTGATTCTGTGACAGTCCTCCCATCCAAGCCCCATCTTTGCTAATTTACCAGGGATATAATTCTCTACCAAAACGTCGGCCTGCTCGATGAGCCTATAAAGAATCTCAAGCCCTTTGGGGTCTTTGAAATTGACAGTCACGGAGCGCTTGTTCCTGTTCGCTTGAAGGAAGTAAGCGGACTCAGGAGGGAGAGAATGGGCGCGTTCCGGTAGGATAGTAGAAGACTCTGACTGGGGAAGAAGGGGAGCGGAGGGCGGGCTCCATGTTCCTATTGTGTACAAGTACAAGAGACGGATAATCAGACGAAAGCAATAGATAACTGAGGGCAGCTCACGTACGAGTATCATCACCCTTTCCTACCTGTTCAATCTTAATCACGTCTGCGCCCAAATCAGCCAACAGCATTGTAGCAGTAGGACCAGCCAAAACGCGGGTCAAATCCACAATTTTGATTCCTTCTAGCGGGGGAGGTATTCCCTGTAGTCCATGTAGAGCATCCGTTGAAGCCTGACTCGAATTGTATCTCCGACCTAACGATACAGCAAAAGTGGGAGTACGAGCGTAACGAGTTGAGACTATTTGCAAAGTCGGTTTGAAAAGAATGTTCCGTAACATAATTGAAGGTTATTGGATGTCTGCGGAGGGGTATAGAACCACGGATTACTGGATAATGATTCCAACTCAAATAGGATGGGAAGACCGGTTCAATATAGAGTCGTTACCGAGAGCCTTTCAACGGCGCGGTCACCTGCACATCGTGGTCAATGACCATGGGAGCGAGCAAGAATAGCGCCGAGCTCCGCTGCTCGGTTCATTTTCGTCTCTCTCCCAAAATGGACTACAGTTTGTGATGGTATGTGGTACGCTTTAAAGCCTCTATGGCTCACAAGTATATCTGCGTTATGTACCAATTGAAAGACTAAGTACTTTCTAACTGATACAGATTTTACATAAGGAGTGAGTCATAATGGCCGACTAGCTCAGTTGGTTAGAGCGTCGTGCCAATATACTGGGTAACTGACATATTAACGCGAAGGTCTTGGGTTCGATCCCCACGTTGGCCATACTCGTTCTTTCTTTGTGTTTGTTTTTTGCCCTTTTCGCTCCCTTTCTCGTGAATACAGCGTCAAAGCCACACTTTTATTAATGATGTTAGCATACATCATTTACCATGTATATAATAAATTTAGAAACAAGAACACCGCAGACCAAGAATACCTACGTCCCTGCAAAGAGAAATAACGCCCAAAGCAAGATGGAGAGGATGGTAATAGAATAAAACACCGTACATAAAGTGTGAGGAAAGGAAGAAAAGATGCACGAAAAGATAATATAAGATGAAATAGCATCGTAAGTCCGGTTCAAGAAATGAAGTGACAAGCAAATGCAAGCTTGATATTTTTCTAAAAAAATTCAAGAAGAGCGATATGCCAAGATAAATGTAAATGAATGCAACGAAAAGCACAAGCACTGATCGGTCAGATTGTAGAGATCATTACCCACCCGCCATGTTCGTCCGCCAATCTCTTCTCTTTTCAATCGCTTCGTTTTGTCGGTGTTCGTTCGATTCAGTTCGTATCAATGCGTTTTTACTTTGGAGTTTTGTTTCCATCGGCTCCCACTGTCGAAATGAACGACCCTTTTTGTGCGGAAAACTCCAACCCGCCAAACACAATTCAAATCATCTCCCCCTCTTCCTCCTTCCTCCCCAATGTAAACGCACCCTCAAACGCAGGCATCTTCGGGTCATGGTTCGCCACTCTCCACGTCCCAACAAGATTTTTCCCACCAATGAGAGTCCCATAAAAGAATATCTTCCTCGCCTCCTCTATGCTACCGCCGGGAGGTAGGCCTAAAGGCTAAACCGAGGAGAAACGAGGGATTAGCAAAACTTTTCTTTATTCGTGGAAGAAGGAGGAAGGCGGCAGCAAAAAAAAAAAAAAAAAACAAACAAAACAAAGAAAGAAAAAGAAAATTTAATAAAAGACGAAATAACACATACCCCGTCAAGCGCAGGCTCCCTAATCATCCCAATCAACCCATCCCACTTCCTCACCCTTCCTTTCCAAGCCCACTTGCCCCATGCACTGGCATGTCGAGCGTCGGTGGTACCGGTGATGATGACGTCGCGAATTCCATTACAAACAGGGATAGTCGACGGAGAAGGAACATACGGCGGAAGGTCGGACAGATGTCCAAACTCAGCTTCCGTCTCATCTCTAGCCCTAGCAGCCCTCAGCGCTTCCTCTCTCGCTTGACACCCAGAGCACGTTTTCCTATCATGGAACATCCCAGGGATACGTAGACTCCCATCCGCATCCGCGTCACCGTTCGCGTTGACAGCGCGAGCGACAGCCTCCTCATCAACAGCGACATATTCATACTCTTCCACTCCCACGCCCTTCCTCTTCCCTCTTCCTCCTCTCACTCGCGGCGGAAGCGATTGCACAGGAACCGAAACGATCAATTTGTCCGTCCCCCCTCCTCCTCCCCCACTCTTCGCACCAGCGCTCGCACTCGTACTAATCGTCGAAAACTGCGGAAACCAAGCGTCCGCAATACCCTGATCAAACGTCTCTTGACTAATCGGATAACCAGGCCCGGGTCCACCACTCCATTCTTGCCCTTGAGTCCCAGTTCCACCTGAATCAGAACTAGTACTGGAACTGGAACTGGAAGTCGAAAGCGAGCTGGAACCGGGTCCGGATCCGAAACTGAGATTAGCGTCGAGGTCATCATCATCTTCTCCCGCTATAATATCCGTATCTGCAGCACAAGGCACAACCTTCCCGCCGTTATAAACCGCGTACTCTTTTAGCCTCACGTAGAGAGGGACAGCGACGATGCCGAGGGTGTGTTCGGTGAATGTATCGGGACGGTGGCCTATCTCCGGAGCAACGGCAGCGGGATTTGCATTAGCGGGAGCGGGAGCGGAAGGTGCAGCGGCAGCAGGAGGAGGAGGGGATGGGGTGGGATTTTGGTCGCCAGGAGGGGGAGGTACAGTAGGCATGTTCGGTGCGGGGCCATTAGGCAGGTTGACGGGAGGTAAAGGTTCATCTTGGGGAGGATCAGTTGGGGCAGGGGGAAGAAGCAAGGCACGCAATTCCGATTCGTTGGGTACCTGGGTACAGAGTGTAGGTGATCAGTATGGTAATCCCGTATATGCCGAAAAAGAAAGTTTAAGGATTGGAAAAGAACGAACAATGCCAGGGAATAAAATATTGCATGAAATATAGGGAAAAGAGAGACGACACATACCACCATACGCCCCATCCACAAGCCATTCAGCGCTCCAGGTTCATAAAGGGCGCCTTTTTGAGGGTATCCAGTGAAAAGGGTCGGAGATCGTTCAGTGTCATTGTCGTATGAGTCGTGAATGCCAGCATTGTTCATCTCAATATCGGTATCAGTGTCGGCGTCATAATCGTTCATTTTACCGTCCTGGACTTGTTCCGTGACAGCCAAGTTATTTTGATCCATCCCGCCCTCTTCCTCGTCACCAACTTCGTCACCCTCATCCTCGCTATCGTCCTCGCCGGCTATATCTTCAACCTCCTCACTGGTGGTACCTCTCTTCTCACCCTCGTCCCGATCCGCAGCATCATCCAGTCCAGTCCTATTAACCCAACACGACCGACACGACCTCAACCGCCACCAGTCCGCATCCCAACGACGGCTTTGACAAGTACTCTCGTCGATACATCCTCTTCGAGACTCATCCGCGAAAAGAATCCGTTCCGCCTCGTCAAGGTCACTCTCCACAAACGAAGGCGAATCAAGTAGAGTAGGCAACACCCTCCGTACCTCGTCCCAACGATCATGAGCACACGGCAAACCAGTTCCGCCCCCTTTGCATTTGTAAGGCGAAGACCTCGTCGAACCAGAACCATCAACCATGACGCCTCCCAGCAAGCCTTCATTCAGCTCTAGAAAATCGTCTTGCGTCGGACGAGGCAAGTCGTTTTGAAGCATCATATCCAATTCGTACTCGCTCACTTGCCCTTGTCCACCTGCTGCTTCATTTTCCGCAGCCACGAGAGCTCGGACTCGCTCTCGATGCTCTTCCCTGTTCCTTGGGAAAGCTTCGGGTACGGGAAACGGCATCGTCTCTCGTCTGGAGAAGTAGACCAATTTCGCTGCATCGGCTGCGAGGGGCGTGGAGAGACGTATTAAGTGGTCAAAGTGACATAATTCCCAGGTGTGACTAGAGGGGTGAGTATAGATTGGGTAGGGGCCGTGGGCGGTGATAGTTGGTTCGGAAAAGGGCGGCGATGCGGAAGCGTTGAACGGGAGGCGGAAATGATTGGCAGGAGCGAAGGCTCCTGGGTAGCGGAATGGGACGGTTAGAAATGGAAGGACTAGTTCGATAAGGGATTCTCTTTGAACTTGAGATTCTTCCATAAGACGGTCTGTATACCCTCTTTAGACGCTGCGGGATGAACATCGAGCGTCCACGTACCTTTACTAGATAGATACCACAGGATCCACATGGCACAACTGTTCGCTACATTGGCAATGGGCCAGCCTTTGTTCAGAACCTTGTACATCTCTTTATGAATGTACCCCTCGACCCACTCGTATACACCAGAAATCTGCATCTGCAGCCGGTTGCAGCCGTCGTCCTCAAGGCACATGAGCCACAAGGTATACATGGTTTCTTGAACGTCAGGCTCCTCCATCCCGATATCACTGCAGACCTCATCAACATACTGCTCCTGCGCAGGTCTCCGTCTCCGTCTTCGGACACTCCTCAAGACTTTACACCAGGACTGCAGCTGCGAAGCCCATTCTCCTGCACCAGGCTCGAAACCCCGTCGACGGATGGCGCTGAAGGAAAACTTGTATTTGTAGACTCGAGCGTAGAGGTGCTTTGCATTGGTAAGATTGCGATATAACGACTTTGAAGTTAAAAGGAGAGGCGTGAAGGAGATTGGGGGCCCTAGAATACGTGGGCAAATATAATAAAAGGCGATATTTTCAAGGAGCTCTGGTGGAAGGGTATGGAGATCTCTGACCCTCTGTCGATGCTCCTCGGGTCTAGCAAAGTGGAGGGGGGTGGAAAGATTTGTTTGCAAATCCAAGTGAGGAGGGGCAGGAGGGGAAGCAATAGAAATAATTTGAGGATCTATCTGTGGGATAACAAACGCATAGTCTATTAAACAAAAGCAAATTCTAAAACTGTCACTTGGAAGCGCTAAGATTAGTACTTACGTCCACATTTTGCAACTTCAAAATTTTTGGCAATCCGACGAATTATTTCGCGATCATCGGGCATTTCCTCACCCTACATACAGGTCGCACATAATCAAATCAAGCTCCTCGTTGTTTGAGGCTAGGAGAGACTTACATCTTCAATGACAGAGATCCAATCATTGTCGTGAGTGATGGATACGTCTACCTCTTCATTCTGTAGCGGGGATTGAGAGAATGTCAGGCAACCTACATATACCGAACCCACCTGGCTCAAAATCCATTGGTTGATTGTATCAGAAGGATGATACACCTAGATAACCGGGTTCAGCATATGGCCTGAGTGAAATTAGATAGACAAACATACTGAACCTCGTATGGAGGAAGAATAATCCACCTCATTGCCGTTCAACTCCGGGGGAACAACATGCTCCTGCGAGACAACATCCGGGGGAGGTGTCCTAGGCACAAGGTACGGCTTTAACCACCAGCTTGGTGCGGGTGATATAGCAAAACCAGTTGACTTGGGTTTAGGCAACAGGTCATCCGCTTCCAGGAAGGAAATGTCTGTCACCGTAGTTTCCACTGCCACAGCTGTACGAAAAGGTGGGATTTTTATTGCAACCTTGAAGCCTCGAAGAAAAACACATCCTGATTGATTTTCAAAGACATCATCTGTGCCGCTCAAGGATAACGCGGAATTAGATGTGCTAAACCAGTATTCTGGTAACCCTCCCCTCTTCGTAGACTCGGCAGGTACATATTCTAAGGATACATCGCCTGGCTGAGCATCAATGAAACACGCTGTCCCCCACGCGCGCGCTTTGTCGCAGCCAGTGACAAAATAGATTGATCCATTGGGTATGCTGCGAGC